GTAATCAGGAAGCGAATTGATCAATCACAGTTGAGAACGCAAGCAGCCGCCGCTTACGTTTTCAACTGTGATTGGTCAATTCGCTTACTGATTACGTTTACGGCCTTATGTTTTATTTCTATATATGCCATAGGCTTAACGCGTGTTTAATGGGCCTTCTACAATAAGCCATAAGTCATAAATCGGAAGTAAGAAACTAAAAATTGACGACTGTGATTGGTCTATTTCTAGCTTATGACTTATGATTTGTGACTTACGGCTTATTGTAGAAGGCCCATAAGACCCGTCTACATAAGTCGCAACACGCAGAACGCAGTTCGCAAGACTAGAAACTAACCTAACATATTTTAGTTATAATAGGTTGTAGGACGCAGAACGCAGGACGCAGGAAGTTGAAATTCACCCAACTTCCTGCGTCCTGCGTCCTACAACCTATTATAACTAAAATATGTTAGGTTAGTTTCTAGTCTTGCGAACTGCGTTCTACGTGTTGCGACTTATGCCTAATTCACACTGGATGCGATGGGCGATGAACGATGAGCGATATCCAATAAAAGCTTTGCTTTAGCTCACACGACGATGTAAAGCAGAGTTCTTATTGGTTATCGCTCGTCGCGCATCGCTCATCGCGCCTAGTGTGAACTAGGCATTATGTAGGCGGGCTTTTACACACCGCGTACACACGCACGCACGCACGCACACACGAAAAATACTCATATCTAATAGAAAAATAATCGTTTTCAGACATATAATATTTCAAAAAAGATGGAATACAATCATAAGGATCTTATCGATTTTATCGCCCAAATACAAGAAGAGTGTAACTTGAAGTATGCGAAAGTTAATCAGTTAAAAGCGATGTCTAAAGCATTGGAAAATATAAATATTAAAATACTAATTCTTTCGATCATCGTTGTAGGTTTATATACACATTTATATATACTTTTTTATATAAATACGACGAATTTCAGTGATATGTTTAAATATAAAGAAAAGTTGGCATTTATATTTAGATCTATAAATTTTATAAAATCTGTAATGTTTCGTCATTCCATTCTTTCGTTTCATCGTTTCATACTTCCGTTAATTATTTTTGCATTAATATTTATTATGATATGTTTTTGTGATTTTTGGTGTCAATTCTGGTCCCTCTTTTTCGACAAATTATTTTATATAATAGATATATAATGTAAAGAATAGATTGTATGAATTTTTGAAAATATTCTAAAATAGTGCATATTGTAATTTTTGTCATTATTTATATTGTTTGCTTCTGTTGATTTGGTCAGGTTTATTTGACTGAAAATGTGTACATAATACTATTTTTACTAATAATTTGTTTAATACTTTTTCTGGTATTCGTTAACTTCATCTGTTAATGTCGGATCCTTTTCGTGAAATTTTTTAAATTTTTTATTTTGTAGTTTTAGTCATCGTTTAGATTATCATATGATCGTGTATTATAAATTTGAACAGACCAACAGAACTAAGACTGTTTCATACTGAAACATAGATAATATTTCTGTAAATATAGAAATTAGAATTATTTTAGTAATTGTTTTAGCATAACAGAAAATCAGAATAGCTTTATATTAGGAATGTGCATTAATTTTAAAGGATTTTCAAGAGATGTGTAGTACTATATCGCATCGGGCCATATTGTTGTTACCTTCATATCAAAGCATCATCATGTAGCTTTAGTTTCCGTATGTGTCATTTTACCGAAGTGTAAACTACATTGTTTTTTTAAGCATTAAATATGTCGAATTATTTTCCAACAAAACGCAATTTGTGGGAAGCTTTGCTCTTTTATTTCCATTTGAAGAAAGGTGCTGCTGAAAGTCAACGAATGCTGTCGAAGGCTCATGGTGATTATACTCCGTTGATTTCAACATGTGAGTACTGTGGTTTCGACGCTATAAAAAATGATTTTGACGGGAACGTCCAGGCCAACTGAAAAAGTTTGAAGATGATGAAGTGGAAGCTTTTACTCAATGAAGATCCGAGTTAAACGCAAGAAGAACTTGCAGAATCATTAAATATTGATTGATCAACCGATTTTTAGACGTTTGAAGGTCATTAGAATGATTCGAAAGCAAGGAAATTGGGTGCCGTACGAGTTGAAGCCGAGGGACGTCGAAAGGCGTAAAATAAATGTGAATTGTTGCTTCAAAGACACAAAAGGAAAAGTTTTTTGCATCGTATCGTGACGGGTGATGAAAAATGGATACGCTACGATAATCCAAAGCGCAAAAAATTCTCGACGATAAAACCGAATGGTGCCGAGCTATATGCTCCGTATTTGGTGGGGTCAGCTCGATGTGGAGTATTATGAGCTGCTCCAACCCAACGAAACCATCATTGGTGCCAACAATTGATGCAATTGAGCATATTGAACTAAAAACGACCAAATTACGCGAAAAGACACTACAAAGTGATTTTCCAGCACGACAACGCTCGGTTACATGTTGCGAAACCGGTCAAGGAAACGTTAGAAGCGCTTAACTGGGATGTTCTACCACACCCGCCGTATTCTCTAGATATTGCTCCTTTATCACGTATCTCGATCGATGGCCTGTCTGAACAGCGCTTTCATTCTTATGAAGACTTTTACCGAACTACTTTTACCAAAAAATCCCTTAAAATTAATGCACACACCTAATATATGTAAACTATTTTTATATAAATTATCGGATTTCTCTTTTTTCCTTTAATAATATAAATAGCAATGTAAGTTATAGTATACTAACATCCCAGTGAGAAATGATAATAGAATTGATTTGACATTGAAATCATTAAATCGCCATCAAAATTCGACACTGATTCCATCGTCATTTTTTACTGGAATGTCTTAGAATTATAATAATTTAGGATTATTAATACTTTTAATATTTTTATGTATATTGTGATTTTTACAATATATTACGATATTATATTTTATACTAATAAAAAAATTAAAAATATAATTAATTATTATAATAAGACCCGTTTAAATAAATCTTTGTGTATATATGAGTAATGCTTTATCCGAGTCGAACACTGATTATTGTGTAGAAAATGTAAAGTTTTATTAAATTTTGATAAATACACACATACGTTTCGATCCACAATTCGGATCCTTATCAATGTTTCGTTATGAAAATGACACTGTTATCATAATACTTTCTGGTACACCGCATATTATAAAATATGATTTTCAACTTTATATTAATAATGTTTGCTGCGTTAGTTAATTTGTATAATAATTATATTAACTTACATGATAAATTAGTGATAATAGAATACATATTAACAAATCAAAGAGCTTTTTATCCCAGCATCCGAAAATGGATTAAAATGGATTGGACTATTTTGTCTATTCGAATTCGTATTTTAAACAGCGTAAACTTTTTTTTGGATTCAATTAAATTCAATTGGATGCAACTGGATTGAAAAACTACGTTTCCTATTCAAAATTTTGAATTGTACAGTATTCACTATGGTCACAAACGCACTGAAAAAGCTGATATTATTTTTCGATTGAAAGGTATACAGATATGCTCCATGCAATTCCTATAAATGAATAAAAATGTATTCAGATTGAAATAGATTCATTTTAACATTCATGAATCCGTATTTCTGAAAATCTGAATACATTTTAATCCATTCTCAGATACTGGAATAAATAAATCTAATTATAAAAATCTTTCGTCTGTCACTGTTTTATGTATCTACAAAACAAAGTAAAGAGTTATTGGAAAGAAAGAGACTCAGCTGTTTGAAAATAAATATTCATATGCTTTGTTTAAATCAATCTGAAAAATTTAATTATCAATCATTGCAGTATCAGTCTGTTATTTTGTTTATGAATAAAAATAATATCCTATCAGAGATAAGTCTTTTATTAAAAATTAATTCTTCGATTATTTTGATATATTCCAATCAAAATCATGTGAATATTATAACCGATGTTCCCTGGTTATAATGATCTTTGTTAGGTATTCCTATTAATATGGTTCTTGTGTTCTGCAGATATTCTCGTTTTCAATATATCCTATTTATTTGTCCTACATATGTTGCATCACAATTTTTGCAAAAGATATTTTATACATGACATTAGTATTATGCATCATATGTTCTGCAATTTATCCTCTTGTACTTTTATGATACTATCGTTTGTTAATACCCTTATACGCAACACTAACTGTTTTATATTTTTTTATGTAATTATTTATATTGTTAGCAATACTTACGATCGCGAGTGTGGACGCTCCACCGGGACTTGAATCGAGACCTTGAGTCATTTATATTAGCAAGCAATTAACCGCCTCGCTGCGGAGCCACACATAGCCTGACGACAGGAACTTTTATGCCTGTATTCATGATACAAATCGACATAAATGTCATTCTATCTTTCTTGATATTTAGAGAGTGACAAAGATAGAACGACACTTAAAATTATGTCGACTTGTACCTTCAAATGGAAAATATCCATAGGTCAGAACTTGCACTTAAAGGTTCCTTAAATTTATCTTTAGATGCTCAGTAACTAATGAAATAATTGATCGTAGAGTACCTGAAGATAAATTTAAGGAATCCTTAAATATAAAGCCTATGACTATGAATACAGGCCTTTCTAATTTATCACTTACACATTATTGTTTCCTTTTCCACTCATGCTTATTATAAGCAAATATTATATTTAAAGGTAGTGTTATTATTTTTTCAACATATAATTTTTATTTACTAATGTATCTCTGTAACTATTGGATAAACAATAATTTTACAATATTATTTTTCATTATTAATTCAGCAAGTTAAATATTACAGAATAGTATGCGAGCAATTCGTTTTATCGATAGAACGTCAAAAGAAATCTAACATATATAAATATCTGAATTTACTCCGATACAATTTTAAATGAGCAGGCAACTTAAATGATAGTGTGTCGAAATTCCCTAGAAAAAGATGGAAAACCTGAATATCGATGATGTTCAGAGTGTTCAGACTGATCACAGACCGTACAGAAAGCACGTATGACACGTGCTCTCTATTTTTTTCAACAACGACTGACCATTGTCAGACGCGTACCTAGCCATGTATCCGATAGTTTACTAAAGAGAATTGTGCAAAGTCTACAGAAAAGGAAATTAGAAACTATTCAAAATCCTATTGTGAGTTTTCCGATTGGATTGTATTCTACCGACCGACTTAATTTCCATTCTGATTCCCCCTGCGTCAATATAATGCCAGAGGTGGAGCATCCGACCGAGGACGATGAACGTTGTCAGGTTGAATATCTAGAGACGCCCGTCAAATCCAAGAATGATAAAAAAGAATACAGGTAAGGTAAACTCAAGTACTCCACATTCTTTTCGTTCGAAATAGAGACAAGGAATATTATCGAATAGTAATTTTTTAAGAGTAACGTTACAATGCATTTTTTATAAGTAAGGGTTAGATTTTTCATGTTGTAAACTTTCTTATTGATTTTTCATTTTATTACTGTATGTTTTGTCTTCTCGATTCAGAGTCATCAAATTACCAAATGGTTTAACAGCTTTGTTAATATCCGATATATATTCAAAAACATGTGCTTCTCAGAATGAAGACAATCAGGATAAAGGTAAGACATGTCTAATAATATTATTTTAAAAGTAAGATATTATGTAATGATAATAAAGAAAGAAAGATATATTTATGTATGTAAATAATTATTTGTATTTATAAAGATGTTTGTGTTATTTTGAATCTGTATATAGAATCGACTGAAGATGAAACTGAAGATGAAGAAAGTAGCGAAGAGGATGGAGAACATTATGATGAAGATGAAGGTGACACAAGTAATGAATCTGATAATGAAGATGGTTCTTCAGTTAAACGAGTTAAGAGAGATGAAAAAAAGGTATGAATATGACAATTTAGAATTGTAGCATTTTAGGATTTACTTTATACCAATTTATTAAATAATCATTAAAAGTTTGTTGTAACATCAAAAAATTTATGAAATTGTGAATGATATCTATCTTCTCAAAGCTCAATATTATCATGATTATCAGTTTTATCGTGAATTTTTGTTTGAAAAAGTTTATCTACTATCTGCAGAGTGTCTATATACAGATTTATTTAGAAATGTAACTTCATTTAAAATTGTTTAATTTTCTATTTGTGACATTCTGTATATAATATCTGATGTGTATATATATTTTTTAAAGGCAGCATGTGGTCTATGTGTGGGAGTAGGCAGTTTCAGCGATCCATCAGAAGTTCCAGGCATGGCACATTTTCTTGAGCATATGGTTTTCATGGGATCTGAAAAATACCCTCAAGTATTAAAACATGATGCGTGAATTTATTATAAAATTCATTTGTTATTATATCTAAATGTGTAAGTATCATCTTGCAGGAAAATGATTTTGATGCATTTATCAGTAAGCGTGGTGGCTTTACTAATGCCTCAACCGAGTGCGAGCATACAACATTTTACTTCGATATCCAAGAGAAACATCTATTGTCAGCTCTTGATCGTTTTGCTCAATTTTTTATTAAACCTTTGATGAAGAAAGATGCCATCACGCGGGAGCGAGAGGCTGTAGAAAGCGGTATATAAATCATGATCGTAATACTGTTGCTGCAGTCTTTGCAGTCTTGATATGCCATGTTCATATAGAGTTTCAGTTGGCCTTACCTTGTGATGAGAACAGAAAGGAACAACTGTTTTCTTCCTTCGCGCGAGCTGATCATCCAGCCAGCAAGTTTATTTGGGGTAATTTAATAACATTGCGCGATAATATACATGACGACAAATTGTATGAAGAATTACACAAATTCAGAGAGCGCCATTACAGCGCTCATAGAATGAAACTAGCAATACAGGTAACATCGTTAAAACTAACGAGAATTATTGATATTACTTACCAAATATAGTTAATTCATAATATAATACGTTTTTTTCCAGGCAAGATTACCGCTAGATACATTGGAAAAATATGTCACAACGTGCTTTGCTGATGTACCTAGTAATGGATTGCCTCCTGATGACTTTACTGCATTTAAAGACGGTGTTTCTTTTGATACTCCCGCTTTCCGAAAAATGTATAAAGTTAAACCTTTTAAAGATGTTAGCCAAGTATGTGAATAGATTCAAAAGAAATTTTCTTTATATGAATAAATATATTAAATTGTGAAAATTGTTTTTTTTTTTTTACAGCTAGAAGTAACATGGACAATGCCTTCGCTACTTCATTTGTACAACAGTAAACCACATCAATATATCTCCTGGATTATTGGACATGAAGGAAAGGGTTCCTTAATTAGTTATCTACGTAAAAAAATGTGGAGTCTCGATATGTTCAGTGGTAACAGTGAAAGCGATTTCGAGCACAGCTCCATGTATGCGTTATTAAAGCTTACTGTCGTACTCTCCTATGAGGGACAACAACATCTGGAGGAAGTTTTAGATGCGATATTTTCTTATATTAATTTAGTGAAGAGGGAAGGTCCGCAAAAAAGAATTTACGATGAAATTGATCAGATTGCACAAAATAATTTTAGGTAAATCAATTATAGAAATAAATAGATGTGTGAAACAGATGTGATTGAAAAAGAAAAATATTAAATATATATATATATATATATATGAGACGCCACTTATACTATATTTTTTAGATTTGCCGATGAGGAGGACCCAGCGGATTATGTTGAAGATTTGTGTGAGAGCATGCACTTCTATCCACCGCGCGATTATATAACTGGAAATGAGCTTTATTTCGATTATAACCCAGAAGCTATACAAAAATGTTTAGATTATGTGACACCAGAGACTGTAAATATCATGATTTTCAATGAAGATTTCGACTGTCTCGAATTAAATAAAGTCGAACCATGGTTCAAAACCAAGTATACGGACATCGAGATACCAAAGGAATGGATCGAACGCTGGAAATCTATCGAGCCATTGCCAGATTTTCATTTACCATTAGAAAATACATTCCTTACTAACGATTTTGCTGTAATACCGTTGCCAGCGGAAGTTCCGAAATATCCTATAAAATTATACTCTGATCGGACATCAGAAATTTGGTATCGGCCGGATCCCAAATTTCGTTTGCCAGAATGTTATATGAATTTTCATTTTATTTCTTCGCTCGGGCTTCAGTCGCCAGAGAAGTAAGTAGTAGCATGTAAGATATAATATTACATTGAAATGGTGTTACTGTCACTCTGTTATAATATAATTATCAAATAACTTGTAATTATTAATATTATAATTTTTTATTATGATCATTTATTTAAAAAAATCACATTAATGACATTTCAGTGCAGCTCTCATGGAAATGTACTGTAATGTATTAAAACTTCTATTGATTGAAGAACTATATCCTGCTATAGTTGCTGGATTTGATTATTACATCAATGTTAGTGAGAAAGGTATTACAATAAAAATGAACGGATTTAACGAAAAACTGCCCGTAAGTATTCGTTCAAAGCATGCGTTAGAATTATAAATATAATTTCGAGATATATCAATATTTTATTTATATTGCAGCTCTTGTTGATGACTATTGCAAAATACATGACTGAGTATTCAACCCTTGTTACAAAGGATTTGTTTGAAATTGTCAAAGTACAACAACTTAAAACATATTACAATTCATTTATAAAACCTGGAAAACTCGCCAGGTATCGATTGTTTGTTATCAAGTATAATTACAACAATTATAAAATTCTTATTTAACTGAAAGAAATAATATATTATTTACATTCCTATCGATTAATCAATTTTATATTTATATGTAAATAAATCTATTCATACAGGGACGTGAGATCATGGGTATTGAAACTTGTCCATTATACACACGTTGATACACACACTGCTCTACGTGGTATCAATTTTGAAGAATTCCAAAATTTTGTGAAAGACTTCACCGATAATTTATACATTCAGTGCCTCGTGCAAGGCAACATGACGCAGGACGCTGCAATGAAGACTGTATTAAAATGCGTTGAAATAATTAATTGCGGTCCTTTGCTTTATAGTATGCTACCGGAAATGAGAGTCACTAAAATACCTGTGGGCACGGGCTATTGCAAATTGAAAAATATCAACAAAATTGATGCAAATTCCATAATAACAAATTATTATCAAGCCGATGTCATATCGATTGAATTATCGGTGTTAATCAATCTGATGATTGTAAGTATTAAATAACTTAGTTTCATATTTTTAATGTATGGAACCTTCAGTTTACATTAATTTATATATTTGTGAAAATAAATATGAATAACATTTTTTATTATTACGATTAATTCTATCCACATATCACACTTATCTGCACTTTTTAATACTTTTTATACAGATGATAATGGAAGAACCGTTGTTCCATCGACTGCGAACTCGAGAACAGCTTGGTTATGACGTTTCCTGTGCCCTTAAAAATATCAACGGAATTTTAGGATATATCATTACTGTTCACACTCAGGCAGATAAATACACAACCGAGCATGTGGACCAGCGAATCGAAGAATTTTTGAAATTGTTTAATGAGATTTTGGAAGAATTCTCTGAAGAAGAATTAGATGATGTCAAGGAGGCACTAAGAAAATTAAAGCAATGTGCTGATATCGATCTCGAAGAAGAAGTTACCAGAAACTGGAATGAGATCACGACGTGGCAATATATGTTTGACAGACTCGAGAGAGAAGTGCTTGCAATAAAAGACATAAAGATCAACGAACTGAGAGAATGGTTTACGAAGCACACACTAAACGGAAGTAATTTCAGAAAATTGAGCGTGCATGTGGTAGGAACTGATCCAAAAGAAAATGCAATCAAGGAAGCAAATAGTAAGTAAATAACTTTTTTGTCGAATACCAAAATATTTAAGCACTAAAATCCGCTTTAACCGACAATAGGATTTCTCTTATTTATTTAGATTCATATCGGTCCAATTTACATTTGTAATTGTTTTTTTAGTCGAATTTTGGTCAATGTCTGTTTTCTGATTTTGTAACATTTATCTTTTATTTTTTTCTTGCTTAAGTTATAAAATCATGCTTAAGTTATAAAAGAATTAAAATTATAAAAAATTGTAGATACTGCAGAAGATCGTAAGAAAGCGCAGTACTTTACTGTGGAATATATAACCAATCAACAGAATAAGGAAATTGAAGATCATATTACTAATGTAGGAAAGTACAAGAAAAATCTATACGTCTATCCAGTAAGTGAGGGAATTAGTCCTCTCGGAATATGGAATAAGTGATACTTCAATAATAATAGTACAATGAAAATAAAATGATAAATCGTACTGCCTTATGGTAATAAGGTTCTTTTTTATTTATTAAATACTTATAAATTTAATACTAATCCTCGTATAAACAACAACAGTATAATGAAGTTACAAGTTTTCACCTAACTCTTCACATTTCTTGCCTCTATATTCTTTTTCGATAAGCTATTAGATTAGTGCAAAAGTTAGTGCCCGATTTATTATTTAAAATTCAAATAAATCGGGCACAAACTTTTGCACTGATCTAATGCATTATAATAGCTAATATTGTTAGAGAAACATTTTGCACGTTGCAACATAGAATATTCGAAATTAATAAAATAAAATTGTCTTACATTAAAATAAGACTTATGCTTTTACACATTAACGATTTTTTGCATGTTGCTCTTTTGTATGGAGCATTATAAACATAAATGGAATTATAAGTAAGTATAATAAGTGAATGAACATAAATGTAGCTGTAATAATATAAGTGGATCAGGAAGTAAAGTATTTAGTCGGGTAATTTTTCATCTTCTTTTAATTGTATTCAAGACATGACAACACGTTTTCAATAAATCATTAAACTTCCGAAAATATCAGCCAACCATATTCAAACTCCTTCCCCTTCTCTCTCTCTCTATCTCTCTTTCTCTCCTTCTCTCAATCTCTCTACTCATGCTAAGAGCTTTCTTACAGGACTCGATTTAAAGTTCATTATCGTTTACAAAAGCCACACATGTCGCGCATGGCTTCTTTATAAACTGAACGGAGGATCCTACAAATCTTAAATACTCTAATTTTGCGTGTGTATGTGTGTTGTGAGAGGTTGCGTTTATAAAAGATAAATAAAGGGTTAAATATTATGCTCTTGAAAAAAAAGGAGGAAACTTAAATATATCTGCCAATTGGATCAATTGCTCTTTCTATTTCTCAGGAAAGAAAATTTCGCGATTCAACAACGGCTCGCGAGCCTAAGAAAACAGGTAGAGCACTTGCATTCCAAAAGTCAGATTTACAGCAAGTATTAATAATGCAATTTAAATATTTCTAAATTGTTATAACATCCATTAAGAGTGCGTTTCGCATTTTATACTTCGAATAATCATCGTATATATCTTTTTCTTTTTTCTCCTTGCAATAATATTATATAGAGTTGCCACTACATTTATATTAATTATTTATCTGCTATTCTCCAAATATGTATCCGCTTTTTAAAAAGTAGTTTAAATGTCTTTAGAGTTACGATAATCTTTTTTTTTTCGGTTCTGCCTCGTGTTCTTGCCAGTACTGATTCTCTTTACTCTTTTTCTCTTGCTCCGTTTCTTTATTCTGTTAAATCGCGCAATATCCTCCACAGGATCACGGAAGTTGTACGAATAATAGTTACTCAGAAACTTGTGCATACCGTTCTCCGTTTTTTAACTAGCGAAAGCATAGAATCAGCTCTGCTCAACACCAGACATGAATGGGGTACATGTTACAACAGTACAATGTTTACAATGGTATTAATAATCCAACAAGAATACATCAATGCAGCTGCGTTTATATAAATGCGAGGACCACAGATGGATCGGCTACGTGCGAATTGGCGAACTCTCGGCATCCCGATGGCTAATTAATTACCACAAACGATTATGTGCTACAAATATAATATTCTTTCCTGTGCGAACAAACTTTTCATTCTACTTATGGGATTTGATCTTTTTTCTTTTATACCCGTCGCGAGATCCTATCTGTCCTTCTGTCTCTCTAATATCCACCTGATAATAACATTGAAAAAGACGATTCGAAATCTATATAGTTTACACACCGCGTTGTCTCGCAACGTACGCTATCCGCTGACCGACCCACCGAAGTCAAATTATATAATCATCAATAATAGCTGAGCGCATGTACAAATTTTTTTCAGATTGACGAACGATTTCGCCCTCTTTTTCTTTCTCTCCCGTTTTCTCCCTTCATAAGCCGGAAACTCAAGCGACAGTTCCGAACACAGTGTAATTATCTTATAGTTGAAAAATTCGAAAGGGCGTTTACTCTCTCACACAAATACATCCACGTAAATAGTATATACGCGTATATTTTCTTCTTTTTTCACATATATATCCCATGCGCTTTTGCATCGTATATTTTTCTTCCTTCGGATATAAAAAGAGAAAGTAAAAAAAAGAACGGGAAAACAAACGTATTAATGATTATCAAGTATACATGTTACCGCGCGTATGCGTGTAATCTTTTCCTTCCCTATGAAAAATAATAGCGTAGTTATACGTTATGTAATATTTAATAAGAATATATAAGGTGTGTGTCGGGGCCCACATGCGTTTTTTTTTTCATCTACATCGATATCTTTTTTTTTTACTTTTTACTTTATTACATTATACTTGCGTTTCGCTATCGTTATTTTAGTTTATATCTCATATTACGTATATAAGCAAAACTACGTTAAGAAAAACTTAAAATTTATAAATGTCAAGTGCGCATAACTCAGAGAGGATTCCTCTTTTTTTTTTTCACATTATTATGCTTAACGTCAGATCGCTATGAGAAGTTCGATTCTACTCGTACGGGCTACAGTTAGAAGTTAAAAGATAAGAAGAATACACGTGTATACGCGTAACACGACGCCTGTCACTGCGCATACATCTAAAGTATGAGAAACGTAATATACAATATATTTTTTTTTCTTTTCTATTTTTAATCTATATCATTTAAAACAAGTTATTGAAAATTAAATAGTTTTCCTTTTTTTCAAGATTTCTGCAAGGCAATCTAAAGCTCTAAAAGATATAAAAGGAGGACAGTAACATACAGAGATATACATAAGAAAGCGGGACTTTTCTCTGAATAAAGGATATATAATTGTTGATAAATATAGATTTTAAAGTATTAATGAAAACCCTATACTCGCGGCAGTATATCGTATAATATTCTGTGCTAGAAAAGTGGCGTTGAAACGAAATGAAAATAGCCGTTTTCCTTCGAAAAATCGAGCATGTGTCTCGCGACAACGTGCTTTGTATATTAACGCGTGACACGTAGATTGTAAAAAATGAATTCTATGCGATATTCATTTAACGTTTCTTCATTTTTACAACGGTTTTGTCATTCCAGCAAGATTATCGAAAGTTTAGCATTTACTTGGTGTACAATTAATTTTTCTGTTATTTAGTTATCTGTTCACAACACACAATGTTTCGAAGATCAATATAGATTGTTATTTCATAAAATACGATAGATTATTTATAACTTTTAAATGGTAATGTTTCGGTATTATCATAGACGACTTTCGTGGGCCCCACTTTTTCTACTTATAACAACGAAAAGCCAGGCAGTTACGCTCTGAATTGCGAACGCACCTGTTTTTTACGTCGTTAATGCTTTATGCGAGTTTCCTTGTTTTCAACATTTCTGCTTTCTGTTGTATTCAATATTGAATTCTCTTTTTTTTTTTAGTGTTTTTGCATTACGCTTCGCGTTTACATTAAATTATTTCACGTTATTATTATTGTTGCATACTCATATCAGTGCAGCAGCAACTGATCACGTTGCATATATCGTTATTTGTGTCTTTATTTGTTTTATATCCGGTATATATATCAAGAGTTCGATTTCTCAGAAAGAAAATCATCTATCTTTACGTAAAAGCGTAAAGTGGCGTTTTACTCTCAAATTCGTATTTCGTCAGATTCAAGAAGGTCGGCTTCGCTAGTACGTTATATGTATTATGTGTGTACATATATATATATATATATATATGTACGCGTTCAAACCGAACGGCTTTGTCAATTTTCGAAATTTACGTTTTCAAAAAAGAATATCGTATCAGCGATTGTGCATTGCAACGTACTTTGCAAAGTAATCGTAAGCGTTCGTACGCTAATCGTAAGTTGTTATGACTCGAATGGTTACAAAATTATATTACATGTATCCGTGAAACGTATGATTTACAAACGCTCGTCGTGACAAATACGTTAAGCAAATGTTGATTACTTCGCATATGCATCGCGTAAAACAGCCGAATTATTTTCCACATATGCTCGGCGCACATCGAAGCTGACATTATTAGTTATAATTCATCTCTGTTATTCATATACATATATACGTTATATATCTTTTTTCTTGTTCCTACACGCAACTCAGGAAACTGAGAGCTTCGGAAATGTAGGAGAACATGGGACTTTCTTTTCCTTTTTTTTTTCTTTTCAGCAAAATTTATCCGCGCGGATGTCATTTTCTTAACATGCCGTTTAAAGCACTTCCGTCTATCTTTCTTTTATCCCTCTTTCTCTTATTCTCTTTCTCTCTCTCTCTCTCTTTCTCATAGGATCTTGTTCCTTTAACTATTCTCAGATTCGTTAACTGTCACATTTTACTCAAATTATATAAAGTTTCTCATTGTCCTAATGCATTTTACGCAATAACAAATCTACAAAAATATAACATTTTATCTTATCACCATATCTCATTATATTATCTCAATAAATGGTTTCCTCTTTTTACTCGCTTTAATCATTTTCATACACATGTCTTAGACACGTATCCGCATCGTCTTCATTACTTATTTTAATAATCGTGTTCTGTCGTGCTGTCTTGTTATTTTGCTGTTATATATCATTTTTATTGATATAAAAGAACCCTTGTTTTATTTCTTTTAAACTCCGATGATCTTTGGTAGAAAGTCATTTAGACTATTCTACACATAAATAGCATATTTTTAACATAATCATCTCCTATTCCGATGCGTAATAAACACATACGCACCTAGATTCTATATATACATCATATCAATCACACTATGTCACTTATAAAGCAACTGTTCATATGTACAATTAAACGAAGAATATTTCTGGAAATATGCTACATTAGGTATGCACAGAAAAGCTCGCTTTTTTAATCGCAATAAAATTATATCGTTCATCAAATGTTTAACAATCAATTTGACATATTTTTAACAAATTTTTAGCAATTTTCGTCAAACTAAAATTGCAATTTATTTGAAATTGAATGATATTTCGTATTATTATACCACAATTATAACACAAATATTTAAATATATAATATATATTAATATAATATATATAAATATAATATATATTTATAATTTTATTTTAAAATTATGTGTAATGTACATAATACATTGTCAATAAACTAA